TTCTTCTCTTACCTTCTGGGACACTATTCTCCTTTGGCTTTCCTCCTACCTCACTGACCACCCCTTTTCAGTCTTCTCTGCTCAGTCCTCCCTATCTTCCCAATTTCTAAACACTGGAGTTTTCAGGGCTCAGTCTTTAAACTTCCTCTTCTATCTATATCACTTCCCAGATGATCTTATTAACTCTCATAGGGACTTCCCTGGAAATCCAGTGGTTAAGACTCTGTGCTCCTAGTGCAGGGGGCACGGGTTCAATCCCTGGTCAGGGAACTAAGATCCCACATGCAGCACGGCGCAGCCAAAAAAAATTTAAAAATAAATTAAAAACTCTCATAGCTTTAAGTCATCCACACACTGATGACTCCCAAATAAATATTTCCAGTCCAGACCTCGATCCTGAACTCCTGACACCTCTCCAAATTCTTACACAACATGTCCACATGGACATCTAATCGGCATCGAAAACATAACATTCCCCAAGCTAAACTCTTGATTTATTTCCCCAAACCTGCTCTTCCCAGTCTTCTCCATCCCAAGAAATGGCATCTCTGCTTTTCCAGCTGCTCATGCAAAAACCCAAGAGACATCCTTGAATCATCTGTTTCTGTCACATTCTATGTGGAACATCAACAAATCCTACTGCTCCTTCTTTCTAAGTATACCCTGATCCAAATCTTTTTTCTTTTCTCACCTATATTACAACAGATTCCTAACCAGTCTCCTGCTTCTGTCCTTGCACCTCCCACCCTGCTCCGCAGTGTACTCCCCACACAACAACCACGGAGATCCTTCTGAAATATAAACCAAGTACTTGTTGCCCTCAGCAATGGTAAGGTAATTTGGACCAACCCTACTACCAAAAGCAACTAAAAATGCTGGATTAAAAACAAAACAGGGCTTCCCTGGTGGCGCAGTGGTTGAGAGTCCACCTGCTGATGCAGGGGACACGGGTTCGTGCCCCGGTCCGGGAAGATCCCACGTGCCGCGGAGCGGCTGGGCCCGTAAGCTATGGCCTGTAAGCCTGCGCATCCGGAGCCTGTGCTCCACAACGGGAGAGGCCACAACAGTGAGAGGCCCTCGTATCGCAAAAAAAGAAAAAAAAAAAAAAACCCTTAAAAACTCTGCAGAGCCATAAAACAGTAAAGAGCTACAAAAGTTTTCTTTCCAAAACTGAAAACAAAACAGGAACTCCAAGAGGTAAGTAGATAACTGTAACCACTCACCCTAAAGTCATCTGACAATTCAGACAAATCTGAATTTTGACCTCATAATGAGAGGGGGACAGAATTTAAAAAGCTCAAGCCTCATCCAAAGTAGAGAGTAAAACAGTAAGACCCTCTTCACATTAAACTAGAACCTCAAAGGCTACATACTCAGGGTACAAACCAGCAGCCCTCACATGCACTTGCAGTTAGAATTCACAACTGGTTATTCAAAAAAAACCTCAAGCTGTGGATTTAGTTTAAAGTTGTCCCTGGGCAGGGCTTCCCTGGTGGCACAGTGGTTAAGAATCTGCCTGCCAATGCAGGACACACGGGTTTGAGCCCTGGCCCGGGAAGATCCCACATGCCGCAGAGCAACTAAGCCCGTGCGCCCCAACTACCAAGCCTGTGCTCTAGAGCCCATGAGCCACAACTACTGATCCCGTGTGCCACAACAACTGAAGTCCGTGTGCCTAGAGCCCGTGCTCCACAACAAGAGAAGCCACCACGAGAAGCCCATGCACCGCAATGAAGAGTAGCCCCCGCTCGCCCCAACTAGAGAAAGCCTGCACACAGCAACAAAGATCCAACACAGCCAAAAATAAATTAATTTTAAAAATAAATAAAATAAACACCAGAAGTAGACAAGACAAAACTTTAAATATTGTAATTATCAAACTGAACTATATGTTTAAGGAAATGAAAGGTAAGTTTGAAAAGAGTTCCCTCCTGCAGAGGGAACAGGAAACCATAAAAAGTGACAAGGCAGATTTAAGAACTTCTAAAAATAAGTAAAGACACCTATACATACACACACACATATATTAAAAATAAAGTATTTACAGATGAAATATAACATCTGAATTGGCTTCAAAATAATCCAGATTTGGGCAGGGGGAAGGAAAGAGGAGTATATACGGGGGATATAAGACTGGCCATATACTGAAAATTGATAAAGATGAGTGGCAGATATGTGAGAGTTCATTCACTATTCTATTCTACTCTTATATATGGTTAGAGTTTTCCATAATAGAATGTTTAAAATGAGTTAAGTCCAAAGTCAACAAGGTGCTACTCACTCTCAGGACATACATACTCAGACAATGTTATAATTGTCTTACCTCTCTGATCTCACCTTCTACTACTTTTTCCTCTTCCTCTGCTCCAGGCACACTGGAACACCCCAGCACACTTCTGCCTCGGGGCTTCTTCCACCCTTATTCCCTCTGCTTAGAACACTCTTCTTCCAGATATGCACATGGCTAGCACTAGAGACCCATTTAGCTCTCTAGTTTACTTTCTCATCACGATGATCTTCCCTTACTACCCTAAAATCATGCACATGCTCACATATACAGCTGCTCTAGCCTCTTCACAGCACTTATTAGCATTATTTGTCCACCATCTCTTTCAACTAGAAATGTAAGATTCTTAAAAAAAGAAATTCTGTTTTGTTTACTCTTCATTCCTAACACCTAAAACAGTGAATGGCTCCTGGTAAGTATCCAATTAATATATGCTGAATAAATAGACTGATGATGAATAGAAGTAACTAATGAAATCAGTGAAAGAATATCTGAAGATAACCAAGTATTCTAGAATCTATGTACTGTTAAAGTTTACATCATTTACTTTGTATCTGTTTCTGATTTATGCTTCATCTCCATGATTTCTACCATGAGGAGATCAATAGGATAACCCGGTCTTCTAATAGCCAAAACAGAATCCACCACAGCCTGGAAGAGAAATGAATGAGAACAGTAAATTATTTGGTCTACTAAAAGAAACCACTGGCCCTAGTAATCTATCACCAGACTAAGCAGATAAAGTGTTTCAGGCTCCAAAACACAAGGCAAGGTCAGAAAGTGTCACTCTGTCATGGATACAAATGATAACCAGTGCCAATGGATAGTTTAGAGCCTACAGGGACTTCAGAGGTTATCAGGTCCAATCCCCTTATTTTACAGAGAAGGAAACTAAGGTGAGACTTTAAGAAGTTATGGTCTTAAAACAAGATCTAACAGGTAGTAGCAGAGTCAGGACTAGAAATCAAGTCTCTTTAACTGCCAAGCCTACTATACAAACACTACTCAAACTTTTCCACCAAAGGACACCTTAATGGAAAAGAAGGAAATGAAATCTAAGGAAAGAGTTCAAATTTGCTGGCTCTAACAACATGAAATTTTTAAGTCTTATGTTTTACCATGAAACTTTTCTACATCATGCCATAATATATACATGTTTGTTTTTTGTTGTTTTTTAATTTTCATTGGGGTACAGTTGATTTACAGTGTTCTGTTAGTTATACATGTTTGTTTCAAAGTGAAAATAATGCTTTTCCTCCATAGTAAAGTAAAATTGACACTCCAGAAAGACATGTCTCATTTATTCTGCCAAATATCCCCAGGGATATGCAATTTGAGAAGCACAGCACCACACAGCCTATTGCTTAGCTCAGAAAGTAATATGAAAACAACTGACCAAAGAAATTAAGTGTTATAGTATAATCATCCTCAAATAAAATAGAAGCAAAAAAATCTATATCTTAGAAAAGTTTACTGAGGTAACATGATTTTTGGTTTTGATGACTAATGGGGAATAATGACAAACCATTGGAAAATGAGAGCATTAGTGTTTCTATAACTCCAAAAGGGAATGGAGGCCCTAATCAGATAGCTTGAAGATTCTGGGCCACGTGATATATGTACTTTAACAGCAGAAAACACAGCAGAGTCTTTATTTAGACTGCTCAGCAAGAAAATGTCTTAATTTCTTAATCTTAATCTGATTTCCCAAGTAGGTTTTCCTATCGGTAAGAATTGACCAGAAACAACTCAGGTGTTTCAGTATTTATATTTCTCAAGGTAAATTAGTAAGACAGAATTCTGATTTCTATGTCAATGTCTTGTGAATTTGGTTGTTATGAACTCATCATTCCTGATAAACTAATATACTCAAGTTTCAAAAAATGCAAAGCTGAGGAACAATGATGATATCATCAAACTACAGCTACCTGATAAAAGCCTTCCCAAAATACCCAACTTTGTCCTGATATTATATATATATATATTCTACCTTTAGAAGTAAACAAGTATACACTTCCCAGATGTGAATATTATCTATCAGATCAGTCATGCTCATTAAAGTGGTAACCTTGGGCTTCCCTGGTGGCGCAGTGGTTGAGAGCCCGCCTGCCGACGCAGGGGATATGGGTTTGTGCCCCGGTCTGGGAGGATCCCACACGCCGCCGAGCGGCTGGGCCCGTGAGCCATGGCCGCTGAGCCTGCGCGTCCGGAGCCTGTGCTCCGCAATGCGAGAGGCCACAACAGTGAGAGGCCTGCGTACCGCAAAAAAAAAAAAAAAGGTAACCTTAACTACAAGACACACTGCCAAAACAACGTCCCCAACCTCACATAATAATAAATAAATATATTTATTATTATTATTTTATATTAAATATAAATAATAAATAAATAATAAATATGGACCTCTAGGTTTAGGAGACCAGTGTGCATCACCCCAACAGCTTCCACAGGGGGTGATCCATAGGCAGCCAAGTCCCTCCCAACTTTCAAGTTAACTTAAAAGAAGGCTTAATATGACACTTTTGAAAAATTACACATACTGTTCTGACCAATCAAATCTACTCTGTAAATAAGCCTATAAATATCTGTCTTCTATATTTTGTTGTATGTTCAAAAGAACCACATGCCATAGCTAGCTGATTATCTTATAGGAAAAAGAAAAATACCACCATGTGTTAGGCTGTACTCATTCTGCAAAAGTTTAACCACATACCTCTGTTAACACATAAGCCAGCTGAGGATGAACTTTAGTTTGTAGAGATGTTCTAGCCACATCTAAGAGGATTTCTCTTTTCATCTCTTTTTTAATTTTAACTTGTTCCAAAACTTCAAGTGCCTTTATTTTTGCAACTTCAAATCCTTCAGCTATTATTCTAGGGTGCAGGCCCTAATACATCAACATAAAACTATAAATTATAAAGTAAGTTATCCAAAGTAAAAGTAACTATCCTTTCCTACTAATAGGTATGTCCAAAAAAATTAATTACCTATATCAATGCCACTAAATATAAGTGTATGTATGTAATTTGTAATCTTTCAGCGCTTCATATTTCAAACAATCTCAAACTTACAGAAAAACTGTTTACAATTTACAACAGTAGAAAAAAACTACAAAAGTTCTTTTTATGTCTGAAAACTGTAACACACTGTTGTGTAGTGCTCTTCTGAATGGGCACAGAAGAGAAGACTCCCTGTAATGTAGAGGAAAAGAACCAGCATTGTTTGGAGAAAAACGACAGATAGGCAGCACCTTCACCAAATGTTCAAAGTTAACATCATAGAACGGGACAAACACACACCATGTGCCTCCAGATATGCTGCATTAAGACCAATACAGCATTTCCATGGCACTCCTGCCAAAAGTTCATAACCTGAGTCTGATAATGAGGAAACAGACACATCCAAACTGAGGGACTTTCTTAAAAAAAAAACAGCCTATTCTCTAAAAGTAGCAATGTCAGCAATGTCATGAAACACAAAAGATGGCTCGAGAACTATTCCAGCTTAAAGAAGACTAAAGGGGTATGACAACTGAATGGGACAAGTGACGAAATTTGAATAAAACCTGCAAATTAGATAAAAGTACTTATCAATGTGCTAATACTAATTTCCTGTTTCGATCACTATACTGTGGTTATATATGAGAATTCCCTGGTTTAAGAAACATACACTGAAATATTTAGATCATCACGTCTGCAACTTATTCTTATACCATTAGAAAAAAATATGTATATTACTATATATATACACATTCCATATATATATATATATTCATGAAAGAGAGAGAAATGTTATTCTTTGGAATATTCTTGCAACTTTTCTGTAGGTCTGACATTATAACAAAATTTTTTTTGAAAAAACGCTATTGTTTATTCTGAAAAATAATACATAAACTTATTGAAAGCTGGAACTAGTTCTAATTTATTCCCTTCCTCCATTCCTTTATGTCAGTCCTATAATAACTTTCAAAAGTTGACATTTATTGAGCATTTGTACCAGGCACTATTCTAAAAGATTTACATGTATTATTTTAGTCCTTTCAACACTATGAAGTGGGTGTTTTTATCATTCCTGTTTCACAGATGAGGAAATTTAGGCTTAAAGGCTTAGATCACCAGGCTAATAAGAGCCAGAGCCAGGATTTAAACCCAAAAGGCCTGACGCCAGAGCCTGTGTTATTAACCATCTTCAAAACATTTCCTCAGCCTAGGACCTCACAACTTCTCACCTAGACTACTAGGAAAACCTTCAGTCTTGACTCCCTTAAAACTGTCCCCCAAATATTTAAAATGCCAATCTGACCATATCACTCATTCATATGTCAGTATGAACATTCTTCTTGGTTAGTATATTACATGCCTATTCACTACTGTCCGCATCACTTTAAACTCCACCAACACCAGACTGCTTGTAGCTCTGCACACACACCAGTTTGCTTCTTTTCTCTGTGCCTTTGCTCATGCTTTTCCTTCTGCCTGGAATGCTATTCTCCACACCCCTCACTCTTTCATCAGGTTCACTCCTCACCCCTCACTCTTTCATCAGGCTCACTCCTTCTAATCCTAAAGATTCAGCCCAGGCCTATTTCCTCCAGAAAGTGCTTCCTGACTACCTCAGGCTAGTTTAGGATACCCCTCCATCCTCAGTGTTTCTATCCCATCCTGTGCCTAGCTCTGTCACTGCACTGTCACAGAGTTTCATAACTATGTCAGTGTCTGTCGGCATCTCCCCTCCCCTAATTTCTTCCTTCCTAGCCCAACCCTAATTTTGTTTAGGTATCTCTCTTCCTCAGTGCTTCAGAGGAAGCTGACCCCATCCCTAGCTCAAGGGGCGGATCCTAATTAGATTAAGTCAATTTCCCAAAAAACTGTCACTGGTTTGGGATGGAATAAAACCAATGTCGGCCCAATCATATAAAGGAAGGACTTTTATTCTATGGCTGGGTGAATGGTTTTCTCTTGCCCTCTCCTGCTGAGTGTTAGTAAGGAGAAGAGGCAGCCCTGATTTCTTCTGACAGTCTTTCATCCAGGATGGGAATAAGCCTATGATGAAACAGCATTACAAGTGGAAGAGCTAAGAGACAGAAAGGATCTGGGTACTTGATGACTGAATGAATTTTTTAATCAACTAACCCTAGAAGCCTGTTTTCTTGCTATATTTCCTGTTACGGGAGATAATTTTTTTGTTGTTTAAGTGACTTTTAGTCAAGTTTCCACTGCTTACAGCTAAAAGCATCTTGAGATAAGTTGCAGGTACTGAATTAATAGACAGATCCCAATACTAAATGAAACACAAAGTGATCCTTTTAGCACTTCGAAAGGACAGGTTATGCTTTGCTAAAATGGTCCTTGAAAGAGCAAAAATCCAACTGCTTAATTAGAAAAGACAGATAAGTAACGCAAAGAAAACACTACAAATTGAACAAAAGCATGGAGGTAGAAATGTATGTAATGATTTCAGAGGCCAGTGAATGACGGAGTCTGGCTAGAGGAGACTGTTTATAAAGGGAAATAAAACTAGAAAAGTAGGTAAATTCACAATGTGGAAAACCTTCATTAATTTTTCTCTAGTTATTTTTTAAAAGGTGCATAATTTGGTTTCAACTTTCTCAGTGATGTTTTCTTTCTTAGGCCATTAGTCATGGGTACATGGCTAATTTTTTAACTTTTATATATATTTCAAATATTTCATTTTTTAAAAAGGTATATAATTTCAATAAAAGGCATTATTTTAACTAAAAATTTCATTATTATTTCCATTTATAATTGTCCAAAAACATCTTGATGAAAATTAACTTTTTCCCTCTAAAATTAAACCATTTTACTAGCAAAAAAACAAATAACTTTTTATTCAAAATAAAGTACCACATGAATGTGCGTTCTATGAAATTCTAATACCTCAGAAATGTAAAGATCAGCTTGTTTTAGTAACTCTCCGATAATTAGGACATTTGAAGTAGTACCATCTCCTGTAATGTCATCCTGGGCTGTTGCTACTTTTGCTATCAAGGAAGCTGTTGGGTGTTGAATTTGTTGAAAAAAGCAAGCAAAAGATTAAAAAAGAGAGAGAATGAGATAAAGAAATAGTCCACCAAAAACAAGATAACCTAAGGGTCAACAGTAAAATTAAGAAATGAAATAAGCTTCATTCTATAAGTTCACAAGTTTTATATTATCATACATAATAAATGTCAAAACGAAAAGTTAAAACCTGAGAACTAATGAGGTTTGAACATTTTATAAAAGAGTCTCTGCTTCGAATGCAACGACATTTCCAAAATAAGATTAAATCCTTCAATCTTGAAGATGAATGTATGTACTAAACTTGCAAAGGATTTTTTTCCCATGATTACAAAGAACGTAAGTGCATTGACTTTAAAAAATGTAACTAATTTGGAAGTATCCCTAAGTTATTATTTGCACTACACAAAGATCTGAAAACAGCCAATAGACTTTTTTTTTTCCTAAGGTTTAAACAAACAAGCATATCTCATGACTGCAGTATTTAGCTGACGGCCTTGGTTTAAGGATATACAAATTGTACTATGTTCTCAGCTAAGGCTAATTAAGGTTTATTAAGTCAGCAACATCAGCTCACCATCTCATGGAGCAGTACATTGCCATCTTTGGTGAGTTTTATGTCTCCTGCACCAGAAACAAGCCTGTTCAGAAAACAGTGGTTATAAACTTCATACAGCAAGAGCCAAACAAGACACTCCCAGTGTTAGCCACTCCACTATCCTTAATATAAGTAACTGGGTGTGGAAAACTTCCATTATACCATGGGGGATACCACAGTAACTACCACAGAATCACTTCTCCCCAGATGGACTGCTATGGTGATTTCATTCCAAACAGCACATTTACAAGTTTAAGGACAAGAGCAGTCCATGAGTTATGAACAGTGGCTTGGTACCTGGAAGAGTACTTGGAAGTCTACAAACCACAAGTTTGTGAACTTTCTGCAGGTTTCTTTTTTTGTGAAATGTTACCATTCATTCACTCAACTAATGTTTTCCCTCACCCCTCATGTTTATTAGATCAAGTTCTGTCAATTCTACAACCTAAATGTCTCTTAAATCTACCCACTCCTCTCCATCTCCACTGTCATCATCATCTCTAGTCTGGACTACTTAGCATCTTGATATGTCTGAATTTGAATTTACCCTCCACACTGCATTTATCTTTCTAAAAGGCAATGTGATTCAGTCAGTTCCCTCACCAAAAATCCTTCCATGATTTTCATGTTCTCCATCACCTTCATGATAATATCCAAACTATATAGCAATGACGTAAGTTACCTTTCCCAATCTGGGTAATGTCTATTTCTTCTACCTCTTCTATCAAATGAGATCTTGTGGGCAAACCTTGGGGTTCCCTTACTACATCATGTTTGCTTTCGTTTCGGTTGGATTTACACCATTGAGCTTCTCTTGTTCCTGAAGTTACCCTATCTAGAAGTCCTTTACTCCCTTCTCCAACTGGAGAACTCTGATTCGTTTTTCAAGACTGATGAAAAATCCTCTGTTATTGAGAAGCTTTCCCTTCTCCCTTCTGCCATCAGTTATTAGTCCCTTTCCTCAGTATAATGGTATATATATAATTAGCACATTCATCTCTACCAGAACTCCTTAAGAATAGAAACTGTATCTCAGTCATCTCTGTGTTCCCAGCATCCCAGTCAGTACATACTCAGTGCCCTCTTTTACTGTTAATATTAATTACTTTGCTCATTCCTCTGAGACTGTATCTCTCTCCTCTTACACCTCTTTGCCCTCACTAGTCTCCTTCCCTCTCTTCTAAAGAAAATAATAGTCCTTAGTAAATATATGCTGAAAGAGCGTTCAACTTGCCTAGGGACGCATAGCTAAAGCGGTCCTTGAATTTGAACCCAAGCCTGCCAGGTTCCAAAGCCCGTGCCGTCTCCACAACACACTGCCCAGCAAAACCCAAACTCTTCAACAGCAGGGGAGCTAGATGGTTTATGTTTCATATATGACACTAAATGAACTGACTTTCTACTTGCATATGAACCTTACCGAGAAGTTGGAGGGCAGGGAGGAGTCACAGTGAGCCCTTTTTTCGGGTAGCATTTCTCCTCCTCTCCCACCAGACTAGAAATGAGCTCAGGGCAGGAATGAGAACGAGGGAAAGCAGGCCCACAAGTGCGTCCACATCGCTCCCAACTCTTTGTGGAACGTCTGCCTCACAGCGCGCCCGGACACCCAACAAACCCCGACGCCCTAACCGCCGCTCCAACCGCCGTCTCACATTTTCATGGTTCCCTTAGGACCCAAGTTGGTCCGCAGCACATCCTGCAGCCCTCGGGCGGCGCATATATTGACTGCCAAGGCCGCCTGGGCCTGCGCCACCTCAGCCTTGGAGTTTATGCCTTTTACCTCAGCCCTGGCCAGACGGTAGGAAGAGTCCCCGCCCCGTAAGGCGGCCTCAGCTGCTATTCTGAGGGAAATCCTGGCGCTACGGCTCACGCTCCTGAGCCTCAGCCAATCCGCGCCCGGACAGGAAGTAACGTCATCAGGCGTCGGCGGGACGGAAGCCAGAATCGCCTCGGGTCGGGTCGCAAAGATGGCGTCTTCTGCCTCCGCTCGGCCTGAGGCGGGGAAACGAGTGGTTAATCAGGACGAACTGCGGCGGTTGATGAAGGAGAAGCAGCGTTTGAGCACCAACCGTAAACGGATAGAATCTCCATTCGCGAAGTACAACCGCTTGGGGCAGCTGAGTTGTGCCCTGTGTAACACCCCGGTTAAGAGCGAGCTCCTGTGGCAGACTCACGTCCTGGGAAAGCAGCACCGAGAGAAAGTGGCCGAGCTGAAAGGCGCGAAGGAAGCCGCCCAGGGACCGTCCGCCAGCGCAGTGCCTCAGTCCGCCAGCACAGTGCCTCAGTCCGCCAAGAGGAAGGCGCCGGACGCAGAGAGCCAAGATGCCAAAAGAGCGAAGGCCTCCCTGGTGTCTCAAGTACAGCCCTCCACTTCCGCTTTGCCCACCAACTTTGACAAAGCCGGAAAGGAGTCCACTAGGGCGACCCTCAGTAAGGCTTCGGGACTCGGTTTACTCCCTGATTATGAAGATGAGGAAGAGGAGGAGGAGAAAGAGGAGGGAGGAGGAGGAGAAGGGAAAAGAGGGGATGTCTGTAAGCATCCGGCCAACGCACAGGGCAAGGAACACTCACTTTCCTCCGCGCGGGAGGCAACCGGTAGTAGGCTGCCAAGCGATTTCTCGGACACAAATCCTCCCAAGGCCCCTTTAATTCCTCATTCAGGGTCAATTGAGAAAGCAGAAATACATGAAAAAGTGGTGGAAAGGAGAGAAAACACCGCGGAAGCATTACCGGAAGGGTTTTTTGACGACCCTGAGATAGATGCGAGGGTACGAAAGGTTGATGCCCCAAAGGATCAGATGGACAAAGAATGGGACGAATTTCAAAAAGCCATGAGACAGGTCAACACTATTTCCGAAGCCATAGTTGCCGAAGAGGATGAGGAGGGACGCTTGGACCGGCAGATTGGGGAGATCGATGAGCAGATAGAGTGTTACCGTCGGGTGGAAAAGCTGCGGAATCGCCAGGATGAGATAAAAAATAAGCTTAAAGAGGTTCTGACCATAAAAGAACTGCAGAAAAAGGAAGAGGAGAATGTTGACAGCGATGATGAGGTAGAACTACAGGATTTGTTGTCTCAGGATTGGAGGGTGAAAGGAACTTTGTTATAGGGTTTCAAAGACCCAAGAGTTCTACATCCTCTACGACTGTATAAAAAGTTCCACCTCTCAATACGATATCGTTTACTCCATGCCTAGAGATTTGGTAACTTGACTGGGTTGTCGAGATACAATGAGCCTGTGAAGATACCGCTTTGGAAAATTGGTGTAAAATATTTTTGAGGTAAAGGTGTTTTTGAAGTTTTCGAAGTATTACACTCAAATGCCCACTTTTTCACACACTTATAGATCCAAAGTTTGGGTTGTAAAAGCTGTAAGCTGTAAATATTGTACATATTAAATATATATTTACTTAAAAATTCTGTTTTGAAAGTTATAAGTTAATAGAAGTCAGACCAACAGACAAGCTTTTAGATGAAAACCAAGTGTGGCATTTAGAATGTATATGGCTTTTTCTTTTCTGACTCCTAAATCAAACTCAAGAGGGTTGTCGCCGGGAGGGGGGTTGTTTTGTTGTTGTTTTTAAGAACACTACTCATATAAGTCATTCAGGGCTAATCAGATCTCTGTTTCAAAACCGTGTTCCAGGAGAGTATGGTGAAAAATATATGCCAAGTATGACCAACCTCCTTAATCCAAAGTTTCTCTTGATTAAACCAGTGATTCTCGGAGGTGGGTGCACAGGAAGATCTCATACAAAGATTTTTCAAAAGTGTATGTGGATCATCTAGGAAGCTTTTTAAAAAATTCATGTGCTTGTGCCCTACCATTGGAGAGATTCAGTAAATCTGGAGTGAGGCTCAGACACCTGTATTAGTTTTGATGGCTTCCCAGGTTATTCTGTGGGAATGCGCTGGTGGTTCAGTGGTTGGGACTCCGCGCTTCCACTGCAGGTGGCGCGGGTTCTACACCTGGTCGAACTAAGATTCCCGCAAGCCGCGAGGCACGGCCAAAAAAAGAAAGCTTCCCAGGTTATTCTAGTAAGGCCAAAATTGGAGCACCACTGCCCTAAATCCAGAACCTATTTATAATTTTCCAGGCTTTGTTTTTTCTTTAAATGACACATTCCGTAAGTTTACTGTCTACTGCGTAAAAGAAATGCTACCTTTTATTTATATCCCATCTAATCTTAAATTTTATTGTTACATATTATAAATTAGGGGTCAGAGTTAACAGGGTCTATCAGTTGTAGGAAGGAGGTATAAGTTGTTTCTCTAGCGGTAACAATTAGCCTGTGCTGATCATCAATAGTTTAAATCAGTCCTTCTCCCTTTGGAGATAGAGGTATTCAAATAGGAAAAAGGAATTAGCAGTGTTCCAGGGATAGAAATGCATACAGCACATTCAAATAAAAGTGAGTAGTAATAATAATACCTAAGACTTTCTTATAAGCCAGGCAGAGTTCTAAGTGTTTTACATAAACTCAATCTAGTTTCCCTAAAGCCCAGGTTTTAAGCCCGGGGATAAGGTATAAAAAAGCCTTGAGTGTTAAACAAAAGAATTCTTCCTGTAGGCAATGTGGGCAAAATGGAAGTTTTTGAGCAGAGAGTCATATCTGCAAGAAATATTATGGAAGATAATTTCAGTTGCAGTATATAGAACGGAATGAACATGGGTAGGGGGTAGGAAGCTGGGAGAATACTTGGAAACTAGATTTTAAAAGCAAGGCAACTAAGACTGTAATTAGGTATGTATTGAAAGAAAAGTAATAGTATTGAAAGAATTTCACAAGAAGGGCTAACATTGACTAGAAGTGAAGAAAAACAGGAGATATATAGATGGAATTCAGGGGTGTTGGGTTTTTCTAGTGTGGGTGCCTAAAAGAAGTTATCTAACACTTATGGAGCATATTAATTGTCCTGCGGCCTTTGGCAGAAAGGCTTTGCTTTCCTGAGCTGTCCAGTGGATCTGTGATAGCAACTTCAGTTTGATAATAATAAGTTTATCATCTTACTATTTCAGGATGTGAGAAAGTACAAGGGGGGTCTTGAATGGTGTGCCAACTTCTACATGGGCCTAAGAGGCTAGGCTAATGATCTAGAGGAGCACTGAATATTAAAAATATAATTCAAGCCACATACGTGTATTAAATTGTCTAGTAGCCACATGAAAAAGTAAAAAGAATGTGACATTAGTTTTATTTTATTTAATCCAATATATCCAAAATATTCCATTAAATTTCAATATGTAATCAATATTTAAGTATTATTAATGAAATATTTTACATTTTGGGGGTTCCTGTAGAAATGTATTTTGAAATCTGGGTGTATCTAATACATCTCAATTTGGACTGGCCGTATTTCAAGTACTCACTAGCCATATGTGACTAACGGCTACCATAAAGGACATCTCAGGTTTAAAGAGAAAGGTACTGGAACTTCCCTCGTGGTCCAGTGGTTAAGACTCAACGCTCCCAATGCAGGGGGCATGGGTTCGATCCCTGGTCGAGGAACTAAAATCCCACATGCGGCACGACACAGCCAAAAAAATAAAGAGAAAGGTATCCAAGTGGAAAAATACATGATCAGGAGGTAGTGAGCAGCCCAGTTTAACTGGAGCAGAGTGTTTATTCCTGACAACAGTGGGAGTTATCACTGAAAAGGTAGGTTACGAACCGTTGTGGAGGGCCTTGAATGCCATGCTCTAAGGAGTCGGAACTTTCACTGAGAGTTGAGTATCCTTGAGGTTGTTGAGTCCTTTACTGTAACACAGTTAAAGGATGAGCTTAAGGAATGCCAGGCATATAAACCCCCAGTGGGTTTTTAGGAGGACCCAAAAGCTCTCAAAATCTCCCAATGCTCTGTATCCCAGAGCATGAGTGATGGGTCCCTGATCAAAATCAAGTGAATCCTTGTTGTATCTGAGATTGATGTAGATAGCTACACAGGCTGTTGAATCCTTCTTGTTCCTCCATGCCTTAGAGAGCTCCTTTGTACCTCTTAGAGCTGTGGGAAATAGGTTTCGGCATTAGACTGCAAGTACCACCAGTGTTTCCAAATTGTAAGAATTGGTCCCAGGGATTTCTTCCTGTCACTTGTTCTGTTTTTAGAGAACCCCCCCCCCCACAATTCAGCCAACATTTACAGGCATACCTCAAAGATATTGCAGGTTCCATTCCAGACCACCACAATAAAGTGAATATTGCAATAAAGCAAGCCACACAAATTTTTTGGTTTCCCAGTGCATAAAAAACTTATGTTTACACTATATTTTAGTCTATTAAGTGTGTAATAGCATTATGTCTTGAAAAAAGTACATACCTTAATTTAAAAATTCTTGTATAGAAAATGCTTACCATCATCTGAGCCTTCAGTGATCATAGTAGTAACATCAAAGATCACTGATCATAGATGACCATAACAAATATGATAATAGGGGGAAAGTTTGAAATATTGTGAGAATTATCAAAATGTGACAGAGACACGAAGTGAGCAAATGCTGTTGGAAAAATGGCACCAATAGAGTAGCTCAACACAGCGTTGCCACAAACCTTCAGTTTGTAAAAACAAATGTAGCACTATGAAGTGCAATAAAATGAGGTATGCCTATGTGTTAGAATTATTGTAAATACTACAAAAAGTAATTATGTAAATACTACCTCTCACCCAAATACAGTTCCCCTAACTTGGAGGAAAAAAAAAATTGCTGATCTCATAACTAGCCTTCAGATGTTCATTTGTCCAGTGCCTTACAATTTACAAAATGCTTTC